AAATAATGCCAGGTGTGAATGAAGTAATCACTTAGCATTCATACGTTAATAAGGATATTATACGTCGATCTATTTTGAACTTCGAAGAGAAACCAAAGAGAACTGAAATAGCTTTTCCTATGTAAAAATAAAGTTAACTAAAATCCGCCATGTTTCACAATGGCTAAGATTAGTATGTTCCCGTGGGAACTTAAGCAAAACAGCATACACATAGTACCACTTTCAAAAATGCAACGTTGCACAAAAGTTGCAAGTATATCCATTAACTATTGATTTTTGCGGACGCGGCGATTTACTTATCAACCACTCGTAATTGAGAATTTATTTAAAACCACGAACACGATACTGTTTTATTTTAAAACAAAATTATTTAACCTTTTTATTTAATTTTCGAGATTCTTTGTTTCAAGCTCAAGTTAAATCTTTTTAGATTCAATTTCAAAAACCACTTCTTAGCGCCTACGTAAGGCTAATTTCAAATTTCTAGATTAAATCATTAGGGCTGTGCACTTTTCGTTATTCATTTTGAAAGTCTCCAAACATGAAAATTATAATTGAAATATGTTATAATTGTCACAAGCTATATAGTTCATAACTAAACCTTGATAGTTTGTCGACGACTGAACTGACACATCACTATATATTATCATATTTACCACATGTATATTATCATAGATAATATAATATATTGGATGTACACATAGACAGTCGCGTTACGGTCATAATTGGTCGTGTTGGTCACACAAATATAAAAAACTAGTACGTGATAGCAATTTATGGAGATTACCTCAACAAACAAGCACAATTACACAATAACATTATATTACTGAATAACAGAAAACGAGACGAAATCATAAGGCCCGTAAATGAGATAGATAGAAAAGGATACTCTCATTTAGCGGAAAATAGATCGTCATAAAATATTTCTAATTAATTACTAAAATTACAATTATTACAAAAATTCTTCTAAAGCCGTTGTATATCAATTATCCTTTAAGAAGATTTTATAAATTCCTATGTTGATTGTAGCAAGAACCTTAGAAATATAATTTTGTATTCTCCTTTTGAAATACATCTTTATTATTTAGCCTTTTATTTATACAAATCATTTGAAAATTAGTCCTTTTTATTTAAGCGCGTGCTTTATAGCATTTTGACGAATTTATCATTTGGAGAAAATCTGAGTTTTATGACGTCACCATCGTATCGTTCTGAATAAACACGTGTTAGATAAATAAAAAAACGCATAAAATCTCTGTTTGTTCCCGATGGCTGATACAGTGCGACATTTGATAGTAGGACTGTTTGCAATATTCTAGATAACGTGTCTATAACATTACAATAATCCATGTCATGTTAATTATAACATTTAAATAACTAAATACTATATTTATTTAATAGTTAAGAGTAAAGTAAATTGCGTTTTCTTAGCTCGAGAGTTTTTCATTAATATTTTGGATAACAATTATTTTGTATCTTTCTCTAGATTAAGTTATCTCTATATCAAATTACATCATTATCGTTCCAGCGGTTTGATTGTGTAAGTACAATTTATATGTCAGTCCGTTTATTATTTTTAAGGCTTAGTCTACTAAAAGGAAGTCATGTTACTTCGAAAAGAAACTTGGATACCTTTACCTTAGTTTTGACAAAAGTATATCAACATCCTTAAAAATTATAAAGCTTACAAAATTATCGATTACTATACACAATAGCACATTTACTTTAAAACTGAACGCAAAAAATAACATTTTAAACCAATAAACTCTTAACTCTCTTAAAACTTATAAAATCTTACATTTGATTGCCAACGCCTTTGATTGACAGTCAAAGCCAGAAACCGCGTTCCTTATGACCTTAAGATTTAATAGAAATTAGAAAAATGTTGATAATTCTGATTATTTCAATCTTATTACCATCCCTCCGATTTGATATAATCCGTTTTGCGTTAAACTTTCGCTGTGGGATATTTAACTTTTACATCTAGGGTTGCCGTTCTATTATTAAAACAGTCAGGGTAAGTTTGAAAAAAAAAAACGAAGAAATAAGTATTCCGAATAAGTTAAGTAACTTTAGATAAATCGCTAACAAGAAGGAAGAATACAATAGATTTGTATTAATTTAATCAAATATGAGAGGATAGAACGACTTAAAAACTATAGAATAAGGTATATTTTCTAAGCTTATTTTGTATATTTTTTTTAACGACTCGTATTCGGAAATCTGCCCTTTTAAATATAGTTTGTATATCAACTAAAAGACTGTATCGATATTTTTTATAGGGTAAAACCATATTGGAAAGTTATAAAAAATTACTATGGTATTTATTGTACTTTAAAAATTGTCCTTTAATTATTCACATTCAGAATACTTTTATAAATACAAGTTGTTGATCAGTATTTCTAATAGGCCTAGTACCTACAGCAGTTAATATAGATTTATCATTTCTTTTTTTGCGAAAAATGAAATCAATAATTTATTATGAGCAGTAATTTTATTTTTTCAAAGAAATGTAGCGAGAAGAATTGATCAAGGATATAAGTGTCAACCCTACGCTTATAACCTTGAAAATTCTTCCCGCCTAATCAAACATGGGGTTCTATCGGTCCGGATAAAATTAAAGGTGTGAAACCAAGGGAAGGGACCACGGGAATAGCACGGTGGAATATTTTAAAAATAGTTTTTAATTTAAATGACAATGGAATAAAGACGCGCCGTCATTATCTAATATGGGGAGTATGAATATAATGTATGGTAATATGACACCTATGAAATTAGCTTTTTACTGCATTGTCATAGACACGTCACATCGTATGCCAGACTGTAATATATCATCTACTTTGTTGATTGACTCTTTTTTCTTCTTGTTTTTTTTTAAACTTCAAGCTAAAAATTTTAAATATGTTTTCCCCGTGTAATATAAACACACGGTAGCACGTCGGATTACGACATTATGGCATTTCTCCAGTAGAGTTAATACTCTACACTAAAATAAGATTCTTTTTACAGTTTTGTATAGCCCTACGTACTGTTAACTCTATATACTTTACTAGCTGTTGTCCTGTGACTTCGCACACGTAAATTATAGCCTATGTTAACCCCGTATGATGTAGCTACCAATACGGGAAAGAATTTTTAAAAATTTTCCAATGGTTTCGGAGCTTATTGCAAACAAACAAACAATCAAATTTTTCATCTTTATAATATTTGTATAGATGTAATATTTACCTATATTATTTTATAAGTATACAATGCTATACTTATTATGAGTAATATCTATATGTACCTGCTTTCAAATTTCAATAGGTCAGTTGTGTGTGACTATCGCAAAGATAACTTTACTATCCGCTGATATAACTTATCGATATATCGATAAGCTGAATCTCTGTATCCTTAAAAAATACCTATGATTATTATATATGTCGATCACTTTTCACCTTTTCTAAAATTTTATTTTCTCTCGATTTCTTATCAATTTCCTAATAACAATATTTTTGAATTTAACTGCTCACGTTTAGACGTTCTTATACGATTCGCGTTGAACAACGCCTTCTATAATTTAAAGTTATACATCAAACTTGGCAAATATTTGAATTTTGAATTATCTTCGAGTCATTCAATAGTGCCCTTTAGGATTCGATGTTCGCTTATATAAAACCTTTACCTACCATCCAGTTTTACCGTGGATTAACAGTATTCGAACGTTCCGACGAAATTATGAATAAAAAACAGTTAACATCATTATTAACTAATTAACTATGTATGTAAAGATTTTTCAACCTTTTCAGTAACTTCGAACCACAACACAATCTAACAAAAATAGTTACTTTTTACACAGAAATATAAAATTGTTGATACATAGAATATTCATATTCCTCAACTAATAGCTGTTATTTATTATTGATTCGATAGAATTGTAAATCATGTCCAACTTTTTGGTTGGCGGAGACAGTTTTCACTTTGTTTTGATAAGTACCTACTTACAACAATATACTACTAGTAGTTCCTCTGACAATTGTTAATGATTGAATGATGCCCTAAGCCATTGTCTTAACACAGAGAGGTACTTCAAATCTCTAAGCTAAGACGTATCTGGAAATTGGTCGAATTAAATAATAACACTATATTGTATAGCGTTTTATTTGTATTCAAGAAGCGTATTCACCATTATAAAGTAAATTAATTAATCTCACTAAGGTACCTAGATAATATAAATTACATTGTAACAGTAGTAAATACTCCATATCTTTTTAATTACTGGCGTGATTACATTGCTGGGATAAATTATAGGTATTCTATTACGATATGTATAATAAAATAAGTTCATTGTATCTTAGCTAGAGATATGCTTAAATTTCATAATGATAACAATGAATCTTAACTTTTAAAAATATATACATTTGAAATTTTAAGTTGAAAAATAAATAAAATATTAACAAATGATTATATGTTTCGTTATAGTCTATTGTAAATTTAACAATTACCTACATGTGAAAACTAAACAGAAAAAAGAACTATACAGCATTATGACCTTCAGAATAAGTATGTAACTAAAATAATAAAGGAAAAATTTAAAACAAATGTTTTAAAAGAGAGGTGATCTCTGTGAATAACGGCTTACGACAGCTCTTATGTGTGATTTCCATATTTTGGCGCGTCAACGCAGCTCAGAAGCTGCGGAGCTAAAATAAAACCCTTACCGCTCAAGTTATTTTCGCATTTGCTATAAAATAACACAGACACAAAACGCATAAAACGATAGGGTGAGCTAAATTTTAAAAATAACCATCCATTCGGAACACAAAATGCACAGAATATAAAAAAAAAAAACACTTTTCTCACTGATTCGGTCACAGTTTTAAAAACTTTTTTAAAATAAAAACTCCTTTGTCACTAATTAGAAGAATAAATAGTTTGATTAAAAATTAAAACACAAGATGTCAAAGAGAACGCATTCGGATTTTCATTCAAAAAGTTTGAATTCGAAAAATTCAGCCTACCGAACGGTCGATTAACGCGACTGCTTCGCCGCGCTCGTGTACTCTACTGAGAGAGGACTTTTGAACGCTCACTTATTTTCCGCGGCTGTGTCAGTTTTCGAGCGGAGTCAACGCACACAATAGCGTTCTGCATAGGAATTCTCTTAAGAATTACGTGTGTGCGTCGGGAGTTAGAGATGGGAAATTATCGATAAGATGTGCATATATATTTACAATACGGCAACACATTTATACTACAATGTGTCTCGACAATTATAATAACGATTAAGAACTTATATATTTGGCAAATACTTAAAGAAAGTATATCATACTGGGGAAATGTAAATAAGCAAAATCTTTATTGAAATTATAATAAAGACACAATGTTATTGTTACTAAAACAAAATTAACGCTTAGGTAATAAATCATGAGCAATACGATTTTGCTCATAATTTATTAACCAAAGAAAAATAATATTAAATATTTTATCATTATAATAGCATCCAAAAATATGATAGAGCACATAGGTATCCTTAAGAGAATTCCTATCCATAGATCTCATTATCATAATGTATTATGAATTAATATAATAATTTGGCAGCATAATAATGGAATTATGAAAAGCTAATAATAATAATACTTACGTGTTATATTTCTTTAAATTCAAAATTTGACATTTAGAAATCGGTATAAGAAATAAAACGAAAAATATTTCTCACTAGGGCCACGATATTACTTTACGATAATTCAACTGCACATCACTAAAACTTCATAGCATCCTATATTCAAACACACACAACCTACACCACCGCCAAGCCGTAACTTCTGAGCTTTAAGCTCTCTCCATTATAAATTCGTATTTTTATCATATAACTACTGAGTCCATTTTCGTTTGACTGTTGAATTCTTTTTCGAGACCCGATTTCTCCTTATCGTTTATGATTTTATGCTACCTTGCTTAAAATCGCTTAAAGGTTTAATTTTAAATTATTTCCTACTTGTAATTATAATTGTAATATTTATATTACACAAATATTTATATATGAGGCCTAATTATCTAATTTCAAAATGTACCGCAATCTTTTTCAAAGGTATAGCGTTAGTGACAGCGATTTATGGAATTATGCAACTTCTAATATTTTTTGGATCGAATGATAATTTAAATGAGCTTTTGAAAAATCGCGGTCTCTGACGCTATCATATGGCAAATAATTTTAGAATAAAATTCATGCATGACTTTCAAAATGAAATGGATTGTGATAGCTTTTAAAATTAGAGAATTACAACGGTTCTTATTTTTTTGCCTTATTTAGTTTTACTGTGTAAACACATATTTTATTTATACTCTTATACATAACTATGAGTAACGTGGAAAGCAAATAGATACAGACATATAAAGTTGATGTTGGATTGTGAAACTTATGAAACTTTGAAATTGCTTTATACCTACATATTCAATTGTCGTATTCTATAATTATGGTGGACAATAAGAAAATATTCATTAATTCATTGGAAAACTGTTGTTCTCATACATCTATATGAGTTGAGATTATTTTACCAACTGCAAATAAGTTCATTATTTTTCTTGGGATTATTATGAAATTTTAGTTTTTTAATATATATTCCTTTACTGACACTTGTCAAATTATGTGATGCTAGGTCAATAGGAAATGTTATTTTTTATGTGCAGTCAACAGTACGTCAGACTATACAAATCTGCCAAACATCTCCTCTAAATGTAAAACTTTTTTAATATTGATGGTAGAGTTTTGAGTGAATGAAATTGAGTTCGTTTGTTTTTGAAATTCGGTCTATTATGTGGGGTATCAACATTAACATGAAATACCTTGACATTGTCAAAGACTTAAACTTGTAAGTCGAAATTTTAAAGATAGATTTGTGTGGGACAAACCTTTTTTGAAGGTTCCGAACTCAAAGGGCAAAACGGCAACTATTTATATTATTAAAATTTCGCTGTCTTTGTGTCACCAGGCTGTATTTCATGAACCGTAAAAGTTAGACTGAAAAGAACTTTTGTTTGTTTGTCCGTCAGGTAGAGTGTTAAAAAATATTAACCACGTATTTTTTAATTTATTCGTAATCATAAAATTACGGCGTTACATTGAGTTGAAATTTCGCATGACGTCACGTTGGGGTACGTTTTCTACTCAACTGTGACGTAGCGACCCCCACTCCTCAACTTTAATGCCTGTTATCTAAGCTATTTCTTGTTTAATTAAAGTAAAAAAAAATACGTATCTAATTTCAATTTTTTCTATTATCTGACTGACGGACTAAATAGAATTGCATTTGTTTTACCAAGTCATCATCCCTATTTTCACAGATAATGTGCCGCTATAGCAACGAATAGGTACCAAAAAACAGAATTAAAAATATTTAAGGAGGAGCCTCTTTAACTTTTAATTTATCCTGTTATACAACAAACGTGATATTTTTTGCCTCGCACTTGACTGGTTTATCTATTTTCAAAATAAATAATATTCAAAATTACTCAAAATATACACTGCAGTGATTTTATTTGTCTTTACTATGGATGACCTCATATTTTATTTCGTTAGAACCAATAAATGACATCAAACTCATATTTAATATTCCAGATCACGTCTTGAAGGAATAGTGACATAAACTGTGGTTAGGATTGGTTAAGGCATTCTATTGTTCGCAAAGTGTGTTTAAAATAATAGAAAGCTCTAATAGCGGTCTGCGGTCTAGTGATTGATAGGTATGAAATACAAAATTGAGTTAGCAATAAATAGAAAAAACATATTATATGCTAAATTAATAGAAAGAACATAATTTTCATCTATACTAATATTAGGGGTTAAAGTATTAAATGGCCGTTTTATTTTAATAGGTTCCTTGAATTGACATATAATCTTCATGGTTTGAGGTTTCCGAAAGAAACTTTTTTACATGGTTTATGATGTTTTTATTTTTAAAAATGTGAAACATTTGAATATCGGCTTTCTATTGTTTTTGTTATTCAGCTTACAATTAGACAAGAAAGATGGATACTGATTTTTGAATACGGGTTCCGACGAGGAAATAAGGCGGCAGAAACAGCCCGCAATATCAATATTACGTTTGGAGAGGGGTCTGATAATGAACGCACCGTGCGATTTTGGTTTAAACGCTTTCGTGATGGAAACTTCGACTTGAAGAACGAGCCACGAGGAAGACCGCACACACAGGTGAATAACGATGAATTAAGAGAGATGGTGGAAGCCGATCTTAGTCAAACTACCCAGGAATTAGCAGCATGGTTTTACGTTACTTCACCCACAATATTGACTCATTTGCGTCAAATCAATAAAATAAAATACGAAAAATGGGTGCCTCATGATTTGACTGAGTTGCAGAAAGAAACGCGTGTTGAAACTTGTGTTGCCTTGTTGAATCGGTATAGAAATGAAGGAATATTGCATCGAATTGTGACATGTGATGAAAAGTGGATTCTTTATGATAACCGTAATAGAAAAATGTAGTGCCCTAAAGCAAAACTTACAAAAGGTATGGTAACTGTTTGGTAGTATCTGCATGGTGTTATACACGATAGTTTTCTCCGATCTAGTCAAGCAATAACGGAAGATGTCTATTATGCCGAACTCCGAACAATGTTGGCAAAACTAACAGTAAAACAGCCTCGAATCATGAATCTATCTTCACCATTATTGCTCCATGACAACGCGAGACCTCATACAGCACGAGGAACTGTTTTGAACCTTCAGGAACCTAATACCTGTCCCAGCAGTACCGTGATTAATAGGACAACGATGAAAAGTAAAATTGAGTTCTGTCGTATATACTTTGTAATTTTTTTTAATAAATGAATTTTATTAAATCGATTTAGTAGATTTGAGTAAGTAAATAGCCAAAACTAACATCTGAGTAATTGTACGAGCCTTAACTGGACAATACAAATTAAACACACACAATTTCACATAAAATTAACTGAGACTGACATTTGCAGATTGAAGCATACATATGATACATAATCAGCCCAGATGATATAAAAACACAGAAAGCCAGGAACAATAACAACTTATTAGAGGTTCCCTACTAAAAAAGATACTATGACTTTGTCGGCGAGTTACAAAAGAATATATAAACCTAAATAATCGGCGGCAGTGTGTGGACTCGTCCCATCTATTATTGACTTCCCTCAAAAGTGAGGGTACGTCGGAGTTTTAGCAATTTTATTGATAACATATTTTTTTATATAATAAACGAAGCTTAACATTTATAATAAGTAATAAACAAGCTGACTTAAAAATGTATGCCGATCTTTAAAATCGAACTGCTCCCAAAGCTATTTTCAAGGTATTTTTCAGGCTATTTTCGAGGCCCTAGGCTTGATTCTGTGTTGAAGATTTTTTTATTAGATACTTTTTATCTTCCATTTTTTATAATTCGCTTTTTAGCTATTCAGGATATTGACCTGAGCCACGGAGCAATCAATTTTGTATTTTCTTTTTGTATATGAGCAATGAATTCTTCATGTTGTGGGGGAGAAACGAAAGCTTTACTCAAATGCCCGTTTTCACTAACATAGGAGTCACCCAAATTTAGCGCCTAAATATTAAGGAATCGCCTAAGGTAAAATTGCATTTACCAAAGACTAAGAGCCACCTAACAACATTAAGCAATGTCTAAAATTACGTCACAACTAAGAGACAAAACATAAAATGTTTATTTGGAATTAAACTAATCTGTTTAATTTCATAAACTAAGTTATTATTCTCAATAATCAGCTGAGCTTTGATATTTTTCCGAATTCAGAAACCGGCCGTTCTATGTATATGAAATATAAAAAAAAAGAAAAACATTGTCATAATTTAAGAAAACTTATATCAATTTATTAAGTTCTATAAATGCTAACATAAGGCGATTATATAAGGTGTAATATTATTATATGCCAGGACTTCGTGGGGTGTATTAGTTAAGTATACTGAACAACTTTTACTATGAGAGCAACACTGAATTCACGAAAAAAATAGAAGAATAGAATAGAATAGACCTTTATATAGCCTATGTAGAGCTTAAAACAG